TACTTTGGAAAGATGTTACTTTGCCTGAATCTTGGATTATGCAAAATGAAAATTATAATAAAGAAGCTGAATCCGTGTCAACTACAACTGATCTGGAGACTATTCAACAACTCCCAAATGGATCAGTAAAAAGCAGAAGTCTGTTCATCTCTTCCTACAGCATTATGGCATAGGAATAAACATGTGGTTAGACTTCCTTATATCAAAGGGTTTAGTGAGGACAATATCCCAACTAAATCCAGACCGATCCAAATGAACCATGAAACTATGGAAATCTGTAAAAAAAAGATTTCTGAGTTATTAAAAAATGGTATCATTCGAAAAAGTAAGTCGCCCTGGTCTTGCCCTACTTTCTATGTAGTTAAAAATGCAGAATTAGAAAGAGGAGTGCCAAGACTTGTTATCAATTATAAACCTTTAAACAAAGTTTTAGAATGGATTAGGTACCCTATACCTAATAAGAAAGATTTGATAAAAAGACTCAGTAAGTTTGTTATCTTTTCAAAATTTGATCTCAAAAGTGGGTATTGGCAAATACAGATCCACCCTGAAGATAGGTATAAGACTGCATTCACCACCCCTTTTGGGCATTATGAATGGAATGTTATGGCTTTTGGGCTCAAAAATGCTCCAAGCGAATTCCAGAACATAATGAATGAAATATTTAATTGTATAAGTCATTTTTCTATTGTCTATATAGATGATATTCTCATCTTCTCCAGGTCAATAGAAGAACATTGGAAGCACCTGTATGCTTTCTTTGAACTAGTAAAGCAAAATGGTTTAGTCATTTCAGCTCCTAAAATTAAGCTATTCCAAACCTCAGTAAGGTTTTTAGGATACAACATCCAGGAGTCTACCATAGTTCCAATCAGTAGAGCTATCCAATTTGCAGATAAGTTCCCTGATATATATATATATATATAAATGCGGTTAGGGTACGGTAAGAATACGAAAATTTGATTTTTATTTCGCATTCTTATCCGATTTTTTCGATTAGCTGATTAATAGGGTCGAGTAGGGTAGAAAATTATGGGTAATCTAAAATTTGAACACCCCTAGTCAAAACAATCAAAATGTTTTTGTTTTTAAATTTGCCAAAATGAATAAGTTATAGAATCAAAATCTCAATTCTTTGAACTGTTTTGAGGTATTTTAAAATATTTTGTGGTGTTTCGAGATATTTGAGTATCTTTATCAAAACTTTTAGTCATTTTCTTTATGTTTTTTAAATATTTTTGAAACATTTTTGTTTTTTAAGTGATTGAAACGATACACTGAAAAAAAATTTTAATCATACAATTACTTCATGTACTTGAATTATTACGTCATCATGTATCATGGTGATACGGTGGACTGAAAATGTGAAAACAACAAGGGTGTCTATATGTTGTGGCATATTGGCAAAATAAGTGTGTTAATGTGACTATATTCATCCATTGTCGTTGAGCTTGTAATTGGAGCTTTTTGTTTCATTTTTTAGGAGAGTCAGCCGAACTACCATAAACCAGGCCTCTCAAAAACTTCATAATCTCAAAATCAGTCACTTTTAAACTTATTTTTCAAATTCAATCTCTTGTTCAAAATGTTATTTGAAATTACGACTTCAAGGTTAAAAACGTCAATTAAATGATGGTTTTAAACTTGAGAACAAATTTCAACTCTAGAAAAATAAACTCATAAAATCGTCATTTGAAATGACACTTAAAGTTGTCATTTCAAATGATACTTAAAGTTGTCATTTCAAATGATGATTTTAAGTGTAATCTAATTTATTTATTTTTTTGATGATATTTAATTATTCATCATATTTCGATTTTTGTTTTACTTAAAAAAAAATTGTGTAAATCAAAAACAAATTATTCACCATGTTTCACCTATAAATTTACAAACCAAGAAATACCAAAAAATGCAACTTATGACTTAAAAAAAAGTAAATTCATTGCATTACACTGCATAAAATGCACAAAATACAGTTTGTTAACATAAATGAATTTTGTGATAAAATTCATCATATTTTCAATTTTTATTTTCTATAAATTAATTTGTCTATTCCAAAACAATGTCATAAATTCATTGAACAATGAGATTTGTCCCTCAAAATTAGACAAGCTATGTGCATATGAAAAATGATATTTATGCGTTAAAAAAAAATTATTACATGAGACTGTATAAAATACAGTTTGTCAATAATGTGGTTGATATTCATAACAATATATAGGTTGATCACATACACATAAAGTTAAAGGAATAAAAGTGTCTGACACATCATCACTTAAATTCAAAAAATCACAAAGTTAAGGATTGAAAACAAATAACAGATCCTCTAAAATTTCAATCTCGGCATAGTTACGATCAAAATGCTCAAATTTTCCATACTCGATTGCATTCAAATAATTAAACCAATGCTACATCTGATCATTTTGATGTTCAAGCCAAGTTATGATCTCGTCATGTGGTTGTTTGAGTCATGTGGATTATATATATCAGTTGAACGTGCCTTAGAAACTACTAGACCATGTCAACAACAATATACTTCAAACTCACAACGTTTTTTATATAACTCTCATCATCTTAGTGTGGGTTTGATATAAGCATTCAAAGGCAGACTGTAGATCGCAGGCCAAACAATTACGTGTCCAATGTGCCCAAATAAGTGATAAGTGTCGATGGACTCATTGAGGAACTCATACTTTTTGTCTATGCCATGTTACACTATCAGAATCTGTATATCATCCAATAGAAGGAACTATGTTCCATGACGTTCGTTGGCTGAATATGAACTATGTTGTTCATTATGTGATGAAGAAACTTCGATGGTTAACTGGATTCCATATTTGTTGTGTGCCTAGACATTAATTTTCCTATGATTTACATAGTTATCAAAACTAGTTTATATAGGTCCAGTTGTGCATTTTAAAATTACAATGAAATTATATAGAAATTTGACATGACATCACACTACCAAGTTGTAACATGAGTTGACACTGAGAAAGCAATGACATGATTTGACCCTGTTAAAATTGGGGTATGGCAATATATTGATAAAACAATGACATGACATAAAACTGTCAAAGTGGTGATATGACAATACACTTATTACACTGATAAAGCTCTGAGCTTATTTAACAATAATTATTACTTATCAAGATATGAGAGTGAAACTAACATTTTGACAATAAGTTCAATTGTTCATCATCATCTGACATATAATCATTTGATAGGTATTATTCATTAGACAAAATAATATTTTGCTCAACTAGTGTCAACTCTCGTCCAAATACAATTTCCACCACGTCTATTGTTAGTTGGAGCATATAATATCAACACCTACGCACCATCATTCTATTATTCTCTCTTCGGACATATTTTACTACTAATTTGTAGTACCCTCTATTCCTTCGTTGCATCGTTAGTGAACGTCTATATGGCACCAGTATGTCAAGTTCGCTTAGTTGTGTGTATAATGTGTCTAATTCATTAGCATGAAATGCCCATTCTTCTCGTACTCCTGCGTAATACTCTTTGGCTTGAAATATGTCTCACCCTTGTAATCATCGTTTCACTCTTTTAACAGCCAAAACCCATTAAACATGCGATTGTTATATATTGTAGAGAAATTTGATGTAGACATAATATTAAATGTATGTTATATCAACCACGCATAAGGTGTTTATATAGTGGTTTGAAAATCCTGATCGTACAATATCAGGGTTTTGTCACTTCAGCACATGGGTTATAGAAAAGTTGATTCAATTCAAACATTGTGTTGATGGAAAAACAGAGTTATTGAAACATCATTAAGTGTTGGGCAACAAATTGATTGACAAGGCCATATCAATAGTGTGTAGTCACTTCATGAATGTGTCACTTTAGCACATAGTTTGTTGAAAAGCTCACCAGTCAATATTCACACAGTGTTGAGGCAAACCAGTAGTGTGTAGTTATGTAAAGTCACCAATGTGTAGTCAAGTGTCGCAATCATCTAAGGTCCTTTCACTTTCTAGCCTTATCAAATATATGCATTCATTGCATGAGTGTGATGCCTGTGTCCTCTCTATATTAATGTCTATGAAAAATTAGGGTTTGTCACTTCAGCACATGGTTTGCTGAAAAACTCACTAGTCTATACTCACATTCATCTAAGGTCCTTTCACCAGTAAGGTGTCATTTCATCATTACATCATACTCTTTAGCCTTATAAAATATGTGTAGTCACTGCATGAGTGTAATGCTTATGTCCTCTCCGCATTAGTGTCCATGAAAAATTAGGGTTTTGCCACTTCAACACATGTTTTGTTGAAAAGCACACCAGTCTATACTCACACAATGTTATCAATTATGTGTAGACACTACAACACATGGTTCAACAATTTCAGGGTTTTGTCACTTCATCGACAATTTCGTTGATTTAGTGGTTTGTCATTTCATCACGTGGCTTGCTAAAAAGTCATACAAGTACAACAACACAAGCATGACCTTTGGAACTATTTATTCAATGTGTGTAAACAACTCATTGTACATAATTTATCTCGAACCAAGAATTATATTCTAAGAACATTATTTCAAAGTCTGGGTCATCATCATTGGCGTTAGAGGATGAGTTCTTCTATCCATTGAATCCTCGTTTATGCTATTCAAGTAGGGTCATAATCACCATGAGGGTGGAATTGCAATATTAGTTGACGGAAAGGAAAAATCTAAGTGTAGATATGCACACATGCAATATATGAAGGCCTCAACAAATTGTCATTGATATGCCACTTGACACTCCTCAAGAGTTGGAGCGAGTATTGTTTCATTTTTGAGCTAAATACAATCGCATAGCAACCCGTTTAAATCGATACAATCTCCGTCACATTGTACGAGACCATGCTGACGAAGGATTGACAGAAGAAGTATGTATAGGTTTCCTCTTAAGTGGAATCTGGTTAAAGATGCTCAGTAGAAGGTGTCATCTGTGATATGTGCAGTGATCTCATTGCTACATGAGATGGTAGGGGTTTCAATGTAACTTATGGTGTCACAACTACTGATACTACTGGTGGTGCTACAAAAGGTGATGGTGCTGGTGCAGTTGGTGTACAAAAGGTAACATCTACAAATGTAGGAAAAGGTGTCACTAAAACAGTAAGGGTCAGAGCTATTGAGGTGATGGGTGATGATGTGACATCTACTATAGGTGGTGGTGTCAACGATAAAGATGTGGAAGGACCTCCTACAAAAACAGGTGTCGGTGGCGCTACTAGTGATGGAGGTGGTGGTCGCATAGGTGATGGAGATATAGTTTTGGTCAGTGGTGGAGAATATGTAGGAGGAATATGAATATCTGTAGTCCATGGCTGCAAAGATATAGAAGCAACATCAATTATTGAGACTAGAAAGTCCACAAGTTGTCGTTCCTCAAGGATAACTGTCAAACACCTGGAGCTCAGATTTTTCATATTCACAAAAGTCTACATGCAAAGTGTCAAATCTAAGCTGCCCTCATATGTAGTCCGGTCATAAGGAGTATTTTAATCAATCTATCTAATAATTTAATAAAAAAAAAATTCATGGTAGTGATTATTATAGGATAATTGATTAAATAATGGCACAAATATTGAGACAGATTAATCATCCATTCTAAAAAAAAAAAAAAAAACTCATCCATAATAATAATGTGAGAAAAAAAAAAGAAAAAAAGAAAGCCTCATTGGTAGGTAAAACTACGAAAAAAAGGAACTTGTGTGTAAATAACACTTCATACTCTTAAATATTTTTAAAATTTTAATTTATATTTTGAACGATTAAAATTCTCTTCTTTTGCCTTCAATCTATATCTATATATCTATTAGTAATAACATTGTGTTGGAAGACACTCTATAATATCAAAAATTGAATATTAATCTTGTGATATTTATATTTTTAATAATAATTTATTTTTACTTTTATATTTTTAATTATATAATTTAAAATTAAAGTGAACAAAAATAAAATAAGCTAAAGGTAAGGGAAAGAGAAAAGAGAGGTATGTGTGGATTAATGAGGTGATTTGACACTGGAGAGTGTGTTGATTAACTTGTTTGACATTAGAGTCCATGTAGAGAAGATAATGTTTTTGAGTGGAAAAACAAATTTAGGGATGAATTTTGTATCAAAGTAGATAAAAATTGAATCAATTTTAATTGTTATTGTGCTTTTATAAGTTGAGAATTCAATTTTCAAGTTGTTATATTGTATAGATATCTATACTACTACTAAAATTCAGCATCTTTGAAATTTTTTTGATTTTTTATTTTGTCCCTAATTATTATTGTAAGTCAATGATAACCTCATATTACTTTAATTCAATTTTTATTTCTTATACCTATTTAACTTTAAATTCTTTTGAACTATTTTATTATTAGTATTTAATTTTTAAATTCTTTATTATTTTCATCCAATTTTTATTTTTTCTATACTTGTTTGACTTCTAAATTCTTTTATTAATAGTATTTGATTTCTAAATTTTTTTGTACTAATTTATTTGAGCATCTCCAACCATAACTCATATTTTTACTCAAATCTAAATTAACATTTAAGTAAAAAACTTGATTTGATACAAAGAACTCCAATGGACAAACTCAAATTTAAAGAAAGAGAAACCAAAATTTAAAAGAAAGTAAAAAAACCATTGGATCTTTAAAAGAAGATGAAATCTCACAATTAAAGATTTGGGTAAGGATTTAAGTCTTCCTTCATTTGAGTAAAAAAATGAGTCTTCCTTAATTTGGTATAAGTTTGAGTCAAAGGTTTGAGCAAGTTTTTTTACTCAAATTTAAATTTGACCTAGGGTTAGAGATACTCTTAGTAGTACACTTGCATACCTTCTATATCTATGTTTATATTTATATGAAGAAATAAAGTCCATGTAACGCCCCAAATACCCCCTCGGACGGCATTACATTCTAAAACCTTTCACAATCATGAGAGCACTAAATAAATCCATAAATAAGAAATTTTTATCCATCAACCATTGATATTTTAACAAAATTCGGGCAGAGTCTCCTTTGTACGGGGAGCTCTACCACAAAATCCAACCTGTGCAATTCTACTATAATGACCACACCGGGTCCAATTAACTACTATATAATCAATCCATCAAATTTACATGTTAACCCAAAAAAATATGCCCACAATGGCATGTACATTCCCAAAGAATTAAACTATGATAAGTAGCGGAATTTCAAAAGATAACTAGACTTTACAATCTTTCAAAAAAACATAGCCTAGTCTAGAACAAAATAGAAGGGCCGCTCTAGGCGTCCACCTCGGGATCTACGCTCCCGTCGATCGGAGTCTCCCAAAGAACGGGCTCCTCGACTCCTGGCTCCTCCTCAAGGATATAGTCTGAAAAATGTTAACAGTAGGGGATGAGCACTAGGCTCTGTAGCAAAATCTTCCCAACTCCAACAAGGTTTATAAAATACAAAACGGGTCGGTCACATTTCATAAATAACATATATGAATTTGAAGTAAAACGGGACATTTTAAATAGATCTCAAGTTTAAGCCATACAGTAGTTAAGGAGAGAAATAAATTAAGTTTAACCATAGCAAACCATTTCCAACATTAAGTCAATTAGGAGGGGCTCCCTCCGATGCATCGTCCCATACCAATGCACCGGCCAAGCCATTCCAGCCAATCATCACATTTATGTTGGTTCATCCCCGTACCATGTATGTTGATTGTTTCTCATGAATCTACCCAACGATTATACCTAGTCCACCCATTTATAATCACAATCACAAGTACTTAGGGAAGGGGCGTCTACCATCCCAATGGCAGTGACGAGTCCCTCCCCAAGAATGGTATACCAACCCTAGTTCGAACTCCAGGCGTACGATAGTGGTCGCATTACCAAATGACAACTCACTACAAGTGCAAGAAACCATCTCCCCCCTCACTGGGTTCGACTGACATTTACACTCTACGGCATATCTCGTAGGTAATCCAAGTCCCTCCCAACCACCATACAATGAGTAAACCAACATATTCTCAATCAATTCACATTTTACCAATTAATCGCAAAATACCCAAATTTCACAAGTAAAGCGTCATAGCGAGATGGAATTAAAATGAGCAAAAGATCAATATAAAGATCATTTTCGTTGAACAATATCGAACACTAAATTTATAAAGTGAGAACCAAGGCAATATATGGAGAAAACTCAATTTTTCTTAAAACCAAGTTTGGAAGATGAAAAAGAGAAATTTAATGGTTACCAAACCATCCCATTATTCAAACATAGCATTTATTACAAGGAGAATTAAGAATCATACAAATCATATCAAATAAATATGGGTGGGAGTGGAAAACATATGTATATACATAAACCCTAGCCTCAATGTAAGAAATTAGGAAGAAATCCCCTACCTCTTGGTTGTAGCTTCAATCTAAGACCCAAGATTCAAAATCTTCCTATTCTCCTTCCTTTTCCTCTTAATTTCGTCCTCCTAGGGTTTCTAGAGATTTGGGTGTGAGTGGTTGAGGAATAGAAGCAAAAGAAATGGGTGGAGAAGAGAAAACTTGAGAAATTCGGTTTTGATCTTTATGAGGTGGGAATCTCTCTTGACCTTGGTGTTTTTCTCTCCCTTTTCTCTTCTCTTAGGGCTCTAAGGTATTTAGAGTGGAAGGGAAATGAAGAATGGGAGAAATAGGGCTTGGAATGGGTGTTTTAAAACCCAAAAATCCCGACTTTTACTGTTCATCGTCTGTTTTGGGGGTTTTCCAGACTTACTGTTTTCCTTATTTTTGATCATGATAAACTTTGAATCTGAAAAAGTGCAAAACATGAAAGTTGTAGATCTAGATGTCTTCTGCATTGTGTCAAAATTTCAGCTCAATCGGACCATTGTAGCAAGAGTTATGACGATTCTACGACAACTGGTCCGGAGTAGGCAATGTACCCGGAGCAGCGCCCCAGCGCCCATTTGGGCGCCCCTTTTCACTTCCAATCCTTCCAACTTTAATCCTAACTTATCCTACATACTTTTCTACATCGACCTAATTAGTTCAAGTTCTTTTATGATTTATTTTGTACATTTTCATACCGAAACTAATCTTTTAACTACTCTTTCCTTGAGTTATACTATTTTATCATTTCAAATGAAATAATTACTGAACACCTATGTCTTTTTATTTTTTATTTTTTTTTTTATTTTTTTTTAAACGCATGTGGGGTATTACAATCCACCCCCCTTAAAGAAAGTTTCGTCCTCGAAACTTACCTCCAGTAACGAACAGAAATGGATACTTCTCCCGCATTTCCAGCTCCGGTCCCAAGTAGCTTCTTCCACTCCATGATGTTGCCACAAGACTTTCACCAATTTGATTACTTTGTTGCGAAGCACTTTCGCCTTGGCGTCAAGAATCTTCACCGGTTGTTCTTCATAGGTTGCTCCGTCTTGAATCTCAATGTCTTCCAAGTCTACGACCGGCGTTGCATCCGATTGACACTTTCTCAACATGGACACGTGAAATACGTCGTGTACTCCAGACAACTGAATTGGTAACCGCAACTGATATGCCGCTTTGCCCACAACTTTGATCACTTCAAAGGGTCCGGTATATCTTGGTGCTAATTTCCCTTTCTTGCCAAATCGAAATACTCCCTTCTTGGGGGACACCTTAAGGAATACATAGTCCCCCTCTTGGAATTCTAATGGTCTTCGTCTTCGATCCGCATAGCTTTTCTGTCTACTCTGTGCCGTGCGTAGTCTTTCCCGGATGAGCTGAATTTTCTCTGTAGTCTCCCGAACAATCTCTGGCCCAAACAAGCTACTCTCGCCCGCTTCTAACCAACACGTCGGGGATCTACACGGTCTTCCATACAATGCTTCATACGGTGCCATCCCAATGCTTGCCTGATAGCTGTTGTTATACGCGAACTCCACCAACGGCAAATGGTCACTCCAACTCCCCTTGAAGTCCAACGCACATGCACGTAGCATATCTTCCACAATCTGTATCACCCTCTCAGATTGGCCACTGTTTTGGGGATGGAACGCGGTACTGAAATGTAACTCTGTCCCCATGGCTTGTTGTAGACTTTGCCAAAATCGCGCCACAAACCGAGAGTCACGATCCGACACAATAGAAAGCGGAACTCCATGTAACCGCACTATCTCACGGATATATAACTGGCTCAAGGTCTCGAATGTATCCGTGGTCTTCATACTCAAAAAGTGAGCAGACTTGGTGAGTCTATCCACAATGACCCACACTGCATTATGCCCGCGCGACGTCCGTGGTAAACCCGACACGAAGTCCATAGTAATGTGATCCCATTTCCACTTGGGAA